GTAATAATGCTTTCTCTGGAGCACCCAAACGTGGAGGTTATGGAACTGGAGGCATGAGAAAGACCCCTTGTCTAATGGGTTCTGTTATAAATAATACAGGCCAATAAGGCAGGCAAATGATACAGTAGATTAAATACAGAAAATTCATAAACATAGAAATACAAGTGGGAGTTAAGTGTTAGTAATGCACAAAATATCATGTACAAATACAGCACGTGCTTCTGCTTCTTAGGAATGATAGATATAAGAGGACGCCAAAATTTTGGATTTGTCCAAAACCTAAGGACAGTTGTTGGTAAGGTTAACCTCTCTAGTTAAATGCCTCATCATGGCACCAGCTCTGTGGTGTAGTGGGTAAAGCCGCCGCCTGCAGTGCCAGCATCCCATATGGGTGCCGGTTCAAGACCCAGCTGCTCCACTTGCCATCCAGCTCTTCTGCTATGGCCTGGGAAAGCAGTAGAAGATGGCCCAAGCCCTTGGGCCCCTGTACCCATGTGGGAGAATTGGGTAAACTTCCTGGCTTCGTCCTGCCTCAGACCCAACCCTGGTTGATGTGGCCATCTGGGGAGTGAGCCAGAGAATGGAAGATTGCTCTCTCTCCCTTTGTCTCTGTAACTCTGACTTTAAAAAAAAAAAAAAAGAAAAGAAAAAGATCATATTTTTTAAACCCTTCTTTGAAGCTAGATGTGGGGACATCACTAAGTTCTAGCCAAAAAAATAAAACAAAATATGATTTCTGGGAGGTAGCATTGAAATGAAGAGTGTGCTCCCCTTTTTCCCTTTTCCTTCTGTCTGTAAAGTAGATGTGATGGCTGGAGTTTGAGCAGCTATCCTGGACCACCAGGTAGAGCTGTTTACTATGAGAGAGAAACAGTAGAAGGAGCCTGGGTGAGAGGGAGTTGCTCTAGACTTTGAAAGAAATTTGTGTATAAAAGACATGAGCTTCTAAATCACCTGTTACTTTGATTATTTTTGTCATGTGTATTTAAAAGGTAAGGAGTGGTCTTGGTAAGAGTAACTGCTGTCTGTGTCAACAGTTGCTACGAAGTCTAATGCTAAGATTATAGCAAATCAACCATAAATCCAGAAACAGGACCCAGGATTCTTGGTGTTCCTAGCGTTTGGGCTCTGTGGTATATTTGACAAGTGTCCTGAACCTTCGACAGGGCTCTTCTCTCCCTGTTGGTGGCTGTTGTAACAGGTGAGGCCAACAGGAATCCATTGGGGTGTATATGTTACAGAAACTGTGCGCTACAGACCTGGCCAGGGTACACCTCCTCCACTAGACTTTCTTGCCCATTCACTCGTGGTGTTCCTAAAACACATTGCAGCCTTAGCTGTTAGATATGGGCGCCAGGTGTCTGCTCTCTCTGTGTGTGTGTGTGTGTGTTAAAGATTTATTTATTTATTTGAAAGTCGGAGTTACACACAGAGAGAAGGAGAGGCAGAGAGAGAAAGAGATGTCTTCCATCAGCTGGTTCACTCCCCATATGGCTCCTGGCTTCAGATCAGTGCAGCTCCAGCTGTTGCAGCCAGTTGGGGAAGGAACCAGTGGATGGAAGACCTCTCTTTCTCTCTCTGCCTCTCCTTCTCTCTCTGTGTAACTCTGACTTTCAATAAATAAATAAATCTTAAAAAAATAAAATGACCATAAAATAGAGCAGTTGCTTGGTGCAGTGGTCACCACTTGGGACATCCGCATCCCATATCAGAGTGCCTGGTTTGAATGCTGGCTACTCTGCTTCCAATCCAGCTTCTTGCTAATGTCCACCCTGAGATGAAATAGATGATGGCTAAAGCTCTTGAGTCCTTGCCACCATGTGGGAGGCCCGGATGGAGTTCTGGGCTCCTGGCTTCAGCCTGGCCCAGCTCTGGCTATTGAGGGCACTTGGGGAATGAGTCAGCATATGGAAGCTCTCTCAGTGGATCTGCCTTTCAAATCAAATGAAAATAAATCTAAAAATGTAAAAATCGAACAGAAAGTGCTATTCTGAATGTCAGATAGGGAAAGACTCCTTGGGATTGTGCAGAAACACAGATGGATTTGAAACTGGCATTCTTAGCTGGTACTAAATATTTGAGGCCCCAGACCTCAATATGTGATATAAAGTATGATTTTTCTCTTATGAAAATATCCCTTTGGAAATAGAAATTCTGCAGGACAAGGAGTACGACAGAAACTGGACAGTCCAGATGTGTGTGTTTTTTTGTTAGATAGATAGCTAGATTTACTTCTGGACCGTCAACCTGGCCTCCATGGGAAGAAGGAACTTGTCAATTTCACTTTTTGCTTGGATCAGAAGATTGAGCCTGGCAGAGAGATGCTGCCTGGGACTCACAGTTCTCTGGAATTTCTAACCTTCTCTTGGCGTGGGAGGAGTTGGGAGAAGAAACGGCATCATTTGAATGATGACCATGGTTACGACAGGGCCTGCGTGCCAACCAGAGGGAAGGAAAACACTGCTGAGCGAAGTAACTGGAAGACAGTTGTTCATATTTTCACCTAAGCTCCATGGTTGAAATCCAGGATAATTTAGACGTTTGGACCCATGACCACTTGGAAATCAGCTTTCCTGGCTGCAAAGCAGTGTGTGGGGTTGGGGCTGGGGAGGTCTATTACAGTGCTTTTTCCCTAGGTGCTTTGTGCTGCCAGATACGGGGGGCCACCTCAAACATGTCTATGCTCCAGCAGATTTCTCAGCAAGTCCAGCAACAGAAAGCAGCAGACCAACTCGATGGGTGTCAGGCTGCCGAGCCGGATCCCACGAGCCCCTGTCGGGTGAGCGATCAAGAGGGGACATGGAAACTGATGTAAGTGCGGCACGAGGTGCAGTCTGGGGCGGGTGTCTCAAGTCCAGAGTCCCGCCTTGCCAGATCACAAGGGCTGTTTCCTGGCCCGTACTGTCGACCCCCTCTTTCTCTGCAGCTCAGTGAGGTACCTTGCAGCCCCCCGAAGCAATGCCCACAGCACACAGCGAGCATCTGAGCCTGGAGATGGCAGTCACCACATGACACAGGCAGATTAGACCCCCAAGCCCCAGCCTTGAGTCTCAGCTCTGTCACTGAGCAGACACAGGAGGCCGGGCGAGTCATAATGTCAGGGTGCCCCGTTCTCCTGCCAGGGGACTCACACAGGGAGAGCGGGGAGTGGGGAGGTCCTCGGGGTATGCAGTTCTTTTGCAGGAGCTCTCTGGGATGATGGCCCGAGTCCTGCAACAGTTGGCCCTATGAGAGCTGCCAGGGGGCAAGGTGAGGCCAGTGCTGGGCACTCAGCCCCTCAGAGGGCCCCTGTGGCTATGGTAATGCCCACCCTGACCCTGTGGGCCGTGTGCTCCGAGACTGCAACCCAGGTGTGTTCCCGTTCTGAACTGGGCAGCCCCTCTGTGACCCAGCATTTACTAAAGTGGGGATGTCTGACCCCGCTGTTTCTGAGGATGAAACGAGACAGAGCCTTTGCCCTGCCCTTCCCAAAAGCCAGCCATTTCTAACTTCATTCCAATGGTCTCATAGACCCCCTTTCCTCAAATCCCAGCGACATCTCCTGGCGTGGATTCTCTTTTTACTTGCCATTTTATGGAGGAGACAGGACCAAGGAGTGACGGCACTCGTTCAAGGTTACGCCACCAGGGGGCAGACCCAGGACTTGAGCCTGGCTGCCTTGCTCCAGAGTCTGACCCACTGCGCTAATTCACAGGAGGCGGAAAAGAGACGATTCTTTTAGACGTGCTCTTCGTTTGTATTTGGAGAACCGCCAAGTACTAAGTTACCGTCCCAGCTCCCAGCCCGAGAGCGCTGGGGACGGGCGAAGCCTGTCAGCGGAGGGTGGTGCATCCGGGGTTGCCGTTCAAGAGCGCGAGGACCCTGAATGGGGCCAGTCCCAGCGGTGGGAAAAACTGAATGCATTAGAAGAATTTGCTCATCTAATCCAGGAGACAGGCGCGACCAGAGCAGAGCTAATCCTCGGCGGGACCTCGCCTGCCAGACAGGAAGGAGTTAAATTCCAGCTGGAGCCAAGACTCCCTTCCCGGTGAAGTGAGTGGCCAGTGGCTTCGAAAGTTAAGCCCCGAGGACTGTGCCGAGGAAGGTAGCCTAGGCTCCTGGGGTGCAGACTCTGAGACGAAGCTGGGGCCGGGCCTGGGCAGGGCCCTCCAACGTCCGCTGCTGAGCTGCGGGCGGGCTCTCACTTCCCTCCCCCGCCCCTTTAATAGGATCTCTGCACCCACAGACTGTCCCTTGTCCCCCTTTCCTCCGGCCCACGGCGGATTAGGCCCACTCTGACCGCCTTTCCCAGCGCTGTAGATTTCAGAGAGGGGAGCTAGGACACCCGGGCTGCCGTCCCGGAGCACGTGGGACACAGGGCCACGGTGGGCATCACCACAGCCACTCGGACCTCCTCAGGGGACGCAGGCCCAGGGCGGGCTTCACCTTTGCCGCTGGAGAGGCGGGGGCGGGGCTGCAAGACTCGGGGTGTCACACCCGGGGAGAAGAGACTACTCCCACTCCCCACTCCCCAACCGGGCCACAGCCCACCCAGTGCTGCCCCACCCCCCACCCCCGGTGAAGTCCACGCAGCGGGAAGCGGATTTCTCAGTGTCTTCGTGCACGGCCTTCTCATCTGAAAAATGGGGCTAGGAGCACCTTTCCGCCCCCTCTCTGGGCTGTTTTGACAACTCCCGCACTTGAGGTAAAAGCTGTGACTGCCTGAGGCGTTTTTTTGCCAGCCAGGTGGGAAGCTGGCGCTCGCCGACTCCCTCAGACGGAAGGGCCAAGAGAAAGTTACGCTTTATCCCGGTCTCTCCTCGAGCCCTCTGGGGCGGAGCGACCGGTGTCGCGGCTCCGTGGCGGGGCTGGGGCGGGGGGGTGACCGCGAGTCTCCCCTCCAGCCCCTCTCCCATTGGCTTTCACCTGCCACAGGCTCGGCTGCTACAGGCCTCTCGGCCTGTCAGTCAGGCCGGCCGGGCTCCGCCCCGCCCCTCCCGGAGGTTTATAACGGGAATTCCCATGGCCCGGGCTCCGGCATCCAACCTGCTGCCGCTGCGCCGCGGCCGAGCGGAGCGAGCCCCGCGCGCCGAGCACACGCTCGCGCCGCACACAGCCCCTCTTCTCTCCTTCGCGGTTCATGACCGCGTCTCTCGGCCGCAGCCTCCGCGAGCGCTCGCCTCAGGACCGCTGCCTGTTCCCCGCCGCCGTCGCCGCCGCCAGGGCCCCGGCTCGCACCCAGGCAGGAAGGCAGGCGCGGCGTGCGCCCCGCCGAGCCCGCGACCCCTGCCCGCTGCCGGCTGCCCGGCCCGGCTGGCACCATGCTGCCCGCGCGCTGCGCCCGCCTGCTCACGCCCCCCTTGCTGCTCATGTTGGTGCAGCTGTCCCCGGCCCGCGCCCACCGCACCACGGGCCCCAGGGTAAGTGCGCCCCCCGGCCGCGCGCCCATCTGCCCGAGGGGGAGACGCGATCGCTGTGCCCCGCATCCCGGGGGTCGAGGGGAGGGGGTAGGGACGTGTCGGACCTCGTCCCCCACCCCGCCCCCATCGCTAACCCAGTCGCCCGCGAGCTTCACGAAGTTGCTGAAATAAAATTTTTTCCCTTTTTTTGCCCCCCCGCCCCCGGCCCCGGGATTTTTACCGGGTGGGTTCCCTTTCCAACCTTTTTTTCCCGGGCCTTTTGGCTCCGGGCCCCTCGGGGAAAGGTTCCCCTTGGTTTGGGCCGGGGTTTCCTGGGTTTTCCCCCAGTTCCGGTTCTTGGGCCCGGGCTTTTTTGCCGGGGGGGGGGGGGGGGGGCAGCTCCGCCTGCAGAGTTTTAGGTTACCCGCGAGCTACACAAGGACCTTGTGTTGTTGTTGTTTTAAAGAGCGATCTCTGCTCGTAAAACCCACAGCAGATAATTTTAATGCTCGCTCCTGCTGGGCACGCACGGCCCTGGAGGAGGGGCGGAGGTGGGGAGGCTGTGTCCGTGTGCGTGTGTGTGTGCGCGCGTGTGTGCGTGGAGTGGGAAGGCGGGGAAGAGCTGCGCGCTGTTCACGGGGCTCTTCCCCTGGCTTCGGCGCTGGGAGGTTGGATTACTTGTTGAACCTTGGTCCGATTGGAGTTTCTGAACGTCACGAAACGTGCCAATTCTGTGCACAGGACGGGCTGTCCAGGGCATTGTAAAAGTCTCCTGGAATCGACAGCATTGTGCTCATTTCTGGTCTAGGTCATCTCCCCCCCTCCCCCTCCTCCAGCTGTTCGAATAAATAATTTCACTTCCTTAAGAACCGACGTTAAACTATCTAGTGGTGCATCTGGCCGGCCTTAATCTTAAACGGCATCAGTGTACCACAAGGCAGTCACCTCTCCGCATAGCTGTTTGCTTGCTTGCACGGCCTCCGTGTGAAATAGCGGGGATCTTTGTGAATACAGCCTTGGCTCTTCAGACAGCTCAGGCTTTCCTGCCTGGGTATCCCTCGGCCTAGTCCCGTGACCACCTGTTCAGACGCAACTTCTTTATTCAGGGCTTTTGCCACGAGAATCATCTTTATAGCTGTCGAGGGTGGAGCCTTAATGACTGCCCAGATGCTGGGCTGATTGCATCCCAGCCCAGCTATCACTGTGAGATCAGATTTGCAGCCACTTAGGAAAGAAAAGTGTTTGTCCCGGTGTTGGGCTGCCCTTGCTTTTATGACCAGATGTGCAACAGCAGATTAGATCCAGGGCGTGTCATAAATCCTCGACAGCAGGCATTCCCCCAAGCCGGGCGAGTCAGGGCTCCGGGAGTGACTTTTATGGATGCAGATGAGGATGCCTTTTAAATGAAGCTGCTTGGTTTGATATTAGGGCTCTAGCTCTTAAACTCAGAGGTCAGGCGAGCCACGGCATTCCCTCCAATAATTAGGAACAGTCAAGACAGAGACGCAGACCAGAGCACCCCGGCTAAAATCTGGATGCCCGCCCACAGGAGGGTCGAAAGGAGAGCGGCTGGAGACAAATGGTGGGGGGCTCCGCTGCTGCTGGGCTGGCCTTGCATCTCAAGCCAGATGGCTCTTCTTCTGCGCTCCTGAAATTGAAGGAAGCAGCTTTGGGGGAGAAGCTTGGGGCTTCAGGGGAAAGCGGAGATGTGGGTTAGGTTTCCTTTTAGCTTCTTTAGTTTGTTATTTGATGGAAGAGACAGAACATACGCAGGGACTTAAATAGGCTTGTGTGTGAACTGCTTCTCTTTCTTCTTCCCTGCCTCTCTCTCTCTCTCTCTCTCACACACACACACACACTTTTTTTTTTTGAACCAAGGGTAAGCTCCTGTCTTGAGCACGCGCTTACCTGGCTTCATTTCTGTGCAACACCAGGTGCTGCCATGCATGAACCTTTGGGCTGGTCTCTGCCCAGAAGGGTGGGTCTGTTTAGTGCCATTTTGCAGATGAGGAAGCAAGACTGGAAGAGGCTACATGACATGCTCCAATCACCCGTGGAGCCAAGCCCAGCTTGCATGGATTTGAAGGTTGTGTGCTTTCCACACCGCCAGGCAGCTGGGGGTGTTCATCGGATCTGGGCTGCTGTTCCTGTCGAAGGAGGAGATGGCCCAGTGAGAAAATGCAGAACCAGGTGCATCACGGCAGTGTGCAGAGAAAGTATTAGGAGCAATCAGTTTTTAGTGTCTGCACGGCTAAAGGGTGAGGTTTGAATTTCAGCCTATCCCAAAAGACTCCAGCTCTCTCCGGCATGGCTTCTTGGTGGCCCCGGGTTGAGAGCGGTGGCGTCATAGGAAGAGCAAGAACATCTGGCTCGTTGCAGAATTCCCTTTGGGCACCCCCAGGTCTCTTCTGTTAATCTTTTGAGTGACAGCGGCTTAAGGATTGGCATCTTTTCCAGCTGGCTTTCTAGGAAGCCGAGAGCATGCCCTTTCAGTTTAACTCTATCTGGCTCACTAATTGAGCTCCCTGGAGGCCTAGACTTCAATCCTTGCCCCCTTATTTGCTTCCTGCCTTCCTTCATAAAATTCCTGACATTTGTTTGACTCTGGAAACCAGCAGCTATCAAGTATCAGATTGGAGACTATTATGTAGGAAGCACCTGATTTTGGGGTCTCTTGGCTCTAAGCAGCCGCTTGGCTTACCTGGGACGCTGGTCAGGATTCTTTCAATTACTGAGAAGCAGCTATTTCTGTAATCGTGCACAACTGACCAGAAACATTTCAGGGGGATGATAGGCTGGGGGAGGGGCGCTCTCCCATGCTGGTGAAGTCTGGCTGATGATGGTCAGGCCAAAGCAACTGTCTGTCTTTGTTGAATTCTCCATCTGCTTTTGAAGTCAGGGAACCTAACCTGATGAGGGCAGGAACTGTGCCCGTGTTGTCCCTCCACGTACTCTCAGAGCTCAGCACAGGGCCCAGCACCTGGTGGAGACCACTTTGTTAGTTTGGGCGATGAATGAAGAGATGCAGATAACGCGTGGTTAGCAGCGATCCGGGAATCTACTTCCCTGGTGCGTCAGCGTCGCTGGGAGCAGGAGAGACATCTGAGAAGTTTGAGAAAGAGAAGAAAATGGAAAGGTCAAGAGGTCTGAGTCAGAAACTGATTTCTTAATTGTTTTAGGCACCGTCTTTGTTTTCTCTCCTCTCCAGGACTTGGGTCGCCCTTCAAAACCCAGCTCTAACATCACTCTCTGGGAACTTTTCTATACTTCCCAACTTCTGGCTAGAATTGGTCACTCTGACCGTGGAGCCACTTCCGGCTGTGATCCCCTGTGGCCTGACTTCTACTGGTCCATCTGCAGTGAGCACTTAGCATCAGGCCAGCATCTGCATCATCTTTGCAGTAAGCTGCCGCTTCCGCGCTTCTAGTTGAATGAACAAACCTGCAAGCCCCTTGAGGGCAGAATAGAGCTCAGGTCCACAGTGTGCTTGTTACCTTGCAAAGCACTCTATACATATTCTTTTTTTAATTTTTTTTTATTTTTATTTTTTTGGACAGGCAGAGTGGACAGTGAGAGAGAGAGACAGAGAGAAAGGTCTTCCTTTGCCGTTGGTTCACCCTCCAATGGCCGCAGCGGCCGGCGCACCACCCTGATCCGAAGCCAGGAACCAGGTGCCTCTCCTGGTCTCCCCTGGGGTGCAGGGCCCAAGCACTTGGGCCATCCTCCACTGCCTTTCCGGGCCACAGCAGAGAGCTGGCCTGGAAGAGGAGCAACCGGGACAGAATCCGGCGCCCTGACTGGGACTAGAACCCGGGGTGCCGGTGCTGCAGGTGGAGGATAAGCCTAGTGAGCCGTGGCGCCGGCTCTATACATATTCTTGAGATGATTGGATTGTATGGTGATGTCCAACCCAGACACCCTGCTCTCATTTAAGCTTGGTTACCCACAAACCGGATGTTCCATGTTTTGTTCTTAGTTTGAAAAAGAGCGCGTATGGTGGTAGTAGGGAGGCTGGGGGAGGAGGATGGACTGGCTGGGAAATTGGCTTTAGCTCTGCTCCAGTGCCTTTTCACATCTTGCATTTCCTGAAGGCGAAGTGGTGTCTGTGGTGTTTCCGTCAACGTGAGTCGCCTGCCCTCGTGTCTGGACTGCTTGTGTCCCATGTCTGCTCAGATGCCCTTCTTGGTGTCCGTGTGTCTGATAAGAGCCCTCCTTCTCTGTAGGGGGGCTTTATCTGAGATGCTATTCAGATGTTAGGCCAAGAACATGATTTAAAATTTCAGGAAGCAAAATTGAGGAGGCTAGGATGAGGAAGCAATCATGTGGGAATCTCTTGGAGAGGCAATCACGATAGATAGGGGATGGGTGTTTTGCCCAGTGGTTAAGATACCACTTGGGGTGCCCACGTACCATGTGGGAGTACCTGGGTTTGAATCCCAGATCTATTCATTCCATCTTCCTGCTAATTCAGACTGTGGGAGGCAGCAGGTGGTGGCTCAAATCGTTGGGTTCCTACCATCCACAGGGGAGACCTGGATTGAGTTCTTAGCTCCTGGTTTTGGCTTTGCCCAGCCCTGACTGTGCAGGCGTTTGGGGAGTGAACTAGTGAGTGAAAGATCTCTATCTGTCTGCCTTTCAAATAAATAAAATATAAAATGGAAAAGACTTTGGTATTATACTACTCTCTCCTGGAGTTGAATCTTAACATTTTTAATGAAACAGCAATTCTACCCTTAGGTATAAATACCCAGAGAAACTCATGCAGGAGACACGAGCAACTGTGTTTGTCATACTACAAGCCAGGAAAGAGCCCAAATGACTGTCAGTGTGAGGGCGGATGAGTAAACTATGATGTAGTCACACAGTGGAAAATCGTATAAAACTAAACAAATGAACAACAGTGCCAGGCAGAAATCTGAATGACTGTTGGCCATATGAAATTAAGTAAAAGAAATGTACCAGAAAATAGAGTAGTGTATCTTTTATAAACTCATTAATAATCAAAATTAAAAAAATTTAAG